TTTGGCAGATTTGCTTAATTTGAGTTGACCTAATTGTGAAAAAACTCGAGGCCTTTGGCGGAATATGAGTTGCTAACAACAGCAACTCCGTCAGAAAATAGCCATTTTCTAGCCCTCCTTTGTCTTTGGTGATACTGTTCGGGTAAGAACGCATTCTGCTGTCCTAGGGGTCGTGATAAGTGAGCCATACCTGCGTTTTTAACCTAAACCAACATCTTAGACACTTGCAATGGTAGATTTTTCAACATGGACCAGAAACGCGTGCCCCCTAGCCCCCCTGCCGCTCCGTGCCTTGTCCTGCATTGGGGCCTTTCTGCCTAGACATGTGGGCCGTGAAAGGGTAGATGCTACCCTCCAACTCTGTCTTTCCTCGCAAAGGGGTCGATTTGATTGACTGACTTTAGTGCGCTGAAGAGGTACATGAATAAGTAAAACAGGCTGGCGCTAACAGCTGTCCCATTATTTTTAACCGCAGGCATTGTAATCGCCGGGCGAAAATTAGTCACCAACTTTGTCTGTTCATAACACTGGGACCAGCAGGCAACGGGCACACTTTTCCCCTGACCCTCAAGTAATATATAAAGTGTTTCCTAACACTGCCTTCCCCGAAAGTCTTAACTTCAACTCGTTTTCTTCTGTAAACACGCCCAAAGTGGTGATTGGCAGTAAAAATGATAGCAAAAATAATTATCTTACTATTGGGCAGGAACTCACAAAGCCATGCTTATCAGAGATATTGTTGGTGAGCTTCAGTTTGTGAAAGGAGATTATCTTCTGGCTCCATTGTTCCCCAGTGGCCGGAGAGTCCGGGTGGATGTACATTCTTTTGGGCATCTCTGGATCCGCCTTGCCTGCAACCAGCCACTGGTTGTTATGGAATTTATACCGACAGTCGTCACTGGAGACGACATCGAGGAGCATGACGTATCTGGTGTGTTTTTCAAGACCCGAAACCTTCACTTTGAATGGCGGGAACATTCGTCTAGAGAAAATGGAAAGCGTACAATTCCGATGTTCAAGGTTTATTCCTACTTGACGCAAGAAATTTTCGACATTTTATGTTTTGGTTTGTCCTTTTGATAAAGATTGCCTTCTGTTTTGGTCAGATCTATTACATGACAACGGGAATTTAACTTCTACGGTGTGCCTTAGGAAGTGTCTTCTATTTAAGGTATTCTTTAGCCTGCATCTTCCGTAATGTGTCCGAACGTTGATGGATCACAATTAGAACAAAATCGGTGCTTTTCAAGGCAAAAAGAGGAGCACTATAATTGTTATTTGATGCCGTCATTAAACGATCTTAGGTTTCTAGCTGTAGTCATAATTCTGTGAATAAAACAAAAAAGCAGTCATATGGTCCTTCATTAAAATTTCATCAAAAGCTCTTTTTGATAATCGAATCCAGATTTTTGGCAAAAAGTAGACAAATCATCACTAGTAGTAACGATGCGAAGAATACTTTTCTCTGTCTCCCAACTTCACCCAGTTTGGACTCCGGTGGGGGGCTCCTGGTCCAACAATGTGCTGCTAACCAACCAACCATGCGAACAAATGCTGAGAAGGAGGCGTGAACGTTGGAACAAACTTTTCGCTTGTTTGACGTGTAGAATTCACACTCGAATCCATCAGCAGGAACTGCATCAAAAAGTGGTAAAGGTGGCATTCATCGTGCATAGTCGCTACCGTAGGCCTATCACAATTACTGACCACGCATAGCGACCATACATATGGTCGAACTACGTGTACTAATTGTTGAATTGCCAAAATTTCATCATTCTTGTTGGTTCTCTGTGTTATAATCCCTCGAAAATGTGCCTCACCGGAACAGTGCTCGTCCGAATGCTCTCTGTGTGGTTAATTATTCTGTCCAAGAGATGTCTCTACCCTGAATATGGAGAGTAGATGTCAGTAGGCCT